GTGTGTGTGTGTGTGTGTGTGTGTGTGTGTGTGTGAGAGAGAGAGAGAGAGAGAGAGAGAGAGAGAGAGAGACGTTATTGATTGAACCTTGCACACATTGGGCAAAATTACTCTACTACTGATCTACACCCCAGCCCTATTGTATGTTTATAGTAATTTTTTTCTCTACAGATGTTACCTGTCCCACGAAGATCACTTGGTATATTTTAATTCTATTAGTTTTTATATTTTTTATCATCCTCATTATCTTCAAAATAGTTAAAGGCCACAGGAGAATACAGATGTGGCAGGGTAAGTATTGAGAAATAATTGTATTTTTTAGAGTAATATGTGTAGTGTCAAAGAACTAATCTTGTCAATGGATTTAACTTTCTTTCTGATTCAATTTACCATTTATTGTGTAGCTATTGTGTCTAAGTGGTGATTCTAGATAATCCAAGGTTTACAAGCATAAGGAAGCCATAACATCAACACTCATACATCTTTCTCATACGGGGCAATGAACAGGAGGGCAAGAAAGACTAGGCAAATAGGGAGGAGTTGATGGAACTGGAGATTGAGCAAGGCTTAGGGGAAGTGAGAACAGAGACAGGCAGAGGAACAGGGAGTGGTGACAAAGAATTTCAGACTTAAAGAACTTGAACAGAGCAGCTGTAGGTGAAAAATATGGTCCAGAATCAATCTTTAACAAACTTGGAGTATCAGCAGATTTTTGGGTGGGACAGAGCTAAAATGAAATCAGGACAGTAGAGATAATGTTAAAAATATTTAACAATTAGTGTGACACCCATCTTTCAAAATGGGTTAACTACTGGTGTATATCCAGGCATATACTGGCTAAATATCAGGCCTGATGGACAGTTTATTATATGACTGGTTGGTTTCTTAAAGATAATAAAATGTTATTACCATGAGAATAGGCTTTGGGGAGCAGAAGGACTGATATTAGAATCCTGGTTCTACTACATACTAGCTAAGTGACTTTAAGCATGTTATCATATCCAAGCGTGCCTTTCCTCTTTTGTCAAATGAGGACATTTCACCATTACCGGACAGTGCTGGGGTAAGAGCTGAAATAAATAGATTACTTAAGAAGCTGAACACAGGATCTGGTGCATAGCTAGTTCTTAGAAAATGATGGTAACTTTGTGATGGTTGCTTATTTCTAAGACCTATATGTTCTTTACTGGGCAAAGCTGTATTAGTCATTTCCATAGGGTAGCAAGTGGTTGCCTCTAGGTTTGAGGAAGGGTTCTACTAGTTCTTTTGACTACATATTTGTTACAGATATTTTTAAGATTGGTCTCATATCAAGTCTTGTCTCTGATACCTTTGTAAAAATGACCATTAAAGCAGTAGTTAGTAATATCATCAATACTATATATTCAATTTATTTTATATTATTATTATTATTATTTTGGTACTAGGGATTGAACCCAGGGGCACATTACCACTGAGTTCCATCCCCAGTCCTTTTAATTTTTGTTTTGTTATATGCAAGCATATAATGAAAAATGTCATACCAATTATGGCATTAAATATAATTAAATATTAAACATACTTTTGGAATTTTGTACATCATCCATGTACAGAGTAACAAATAATAAAATATTTTGAATGTAAGAGCTGGTGCTTTTCATTAGAGGATGTGACATAATGGTGTTCATGGTGGCAGAGAAGTCACTGGTTTGAGAAAGAACCCAGTTGTATTTGCTAGTGGAACTTAGTAGGAAAAGTTCCGGTGTCTGGTTACCCCAGGCCTTGTTGGGAAAGGCCCTTTCTCCTTGGTAATCCATTAAACCAGCATAGGGAATACATCTGAAGAATGTGTTTCTCATCTAAATATTTAATTTCTTTTCCCGGAATAGGTCATAAATACAAAGGTACATCTGTTCTTCTAAGAGGAAGCGATTCTGAGAAACAGAGAGCATTGAACGTGCGGGTTATTTCAGGTGAGCTCCGTGACATCAACACAAAAGCTCAGGAAATTCCAACACTGCACCCTCTCACCAAGCAAGTTCAAGATCTGAGCTCATTTAAATAGCCTTCAATTGGGAATAAAGGAGTGGAGCTGTGGGCAAATGAAATTCAGCTTAATATGTCTTATTATCAGGGGACAGTTAGGATCAAAACACGTCCTTAAATAATGGAAAGTTTGCTTAATTGGCAAGAAGAAACTCATGTGAGTAGGCAGAGGAGAGAACGCAGTAAGGAATAAGCCCTGATTTATTTTTAAATGAGACAAGATACCATTATTCCTCAGAATTGCAAGAAGTAATTGCAGAGTGGGCATGGCTTTTTGCTGGAGCCTTCACTTCACAGAGGGTGTCATTGTGTAGAGAGAACTTCTAATAGTCCCAATTAAAAAGCCCCCTGTCCTCTCCTGAGAAACAGAAATGGAATAAGGGGATCCTAATTAGAGCAGCTAAGGGGCTGTTAGCACAGATGCTGTGGTTCTTTCTCCTTCTAATTGTGGAAGCTCCTTTTGAATTCATGCTGTCAAACCACATTAAAAAAAGAGACAGGGAGAATGTGACATGGACAAAGTCCTCTTCACCAAAGAGAAATAATATCCTGGACTCTTTGACAGACCACAGAATTATGAGTGATCTGACTAACACCCTTTGTCCATAGCCAGTGAGCTGGCCCCTTTGACTCTGAGAAGATAGAAAAGGAAGCTTGAAGTCGGGTGTGTAAATGCTTTTTAAAAATGAAAGGAGACCAGACAACTCCCTGTCTCACACTGCAGCTGCATCTGCAGCCACCTAGAGATCTGCCCAGAATTTCAGTGGGGACCACTGCCTGAGACATTTGTTTGCTATTGAAATTAACAAGAATCTCAGACTTCTCGTCTGGGGAAAGATTAGCCTGGGTGTACCCAAAGAGTTCCAAAAAAAAAAAAATTAAAAAACAAACAAACACTACTCAGTGTTAGCAGTCAAATTATTAAGCTATAACTAATAATAAGTATTAGCAAAATAATCACTTGGCTCCAGTTATATTTGGGATAAGTTAATGGAAATTCTAGGTGGCCAATGTAAATTTGATTGATTAATAAAAGTCATAAAACTTTTTTTTGTTTTTTGTACCCAGGATTGAACACAGGTGCACTTGACCACTAAGCCACATCCCCAGCCCTCAAAAAAGATTTTAAATGGGGAAAAAAATATTTTTTTAAAAGGAGAAAATAGCATTCCCTGGTTCTTATCTAGAAAATGGGCCTGTACACCAGGAATGGTTTAACCCAGTTTGGCTGAGCTTTTTAGTTGTGTTAGGAATCCTGGTCATTTCTGTTTTCAAGTCATAATTTTGAGCACTGCAGTCTTGTCTGAGAAAAAGTCAATAGCTCCCCTGTCAACCCATATAATCGAGGGAATCACAAATTTTAAGTCCTGGCCAACCACAAGACTAACCTCACAAGTTGTATTTATGAGTCTGTGATTTTCTTTCACCCAAGAAACCTGTCTCAGCCCTACTTCCCCTTTAATAGCTCTCACTAAAAGTGTGGCTTTATTACCAGGTATATAATATTAATGTTTTGTTCAGGCCAAGGGGTGATGGCCATTTTTAAAACCAAGAATCCTTTTGAGGCTCAGCATCTTAAAAAGGGAAAGAAGCAGATTCTTTGTTATTTATATTCCTTTAACCTAAATGCATTTTTTTTTTCCTCTCCCTATTCTGAGTTGCTCTTTCTGAGAGAGAAATGGAAAGGCAATAATGTCTCCCTTGAGTGCCGTTTTTAAGGCTGCTCTTTGTAATGATGGATTATAGGCAGCAGTGAGAATGTAAGGGGGAAATGTATCTGTATGGTTCTCTGAAAACGCAGTAACATGAGAAAGAAAAAAAAATGTAGTTCAAAGAAGCAGCGACTGTGCCACCTTCGACAGAGCTTGCTGTGGACTCCAGCTCTCTGTTCCAGAATGTCTCGCCACTTGTTCACGGATTACAAAGTCACTTTTGTTACACTCAGAGGTACAGACAGGCTCACACCCTCCAAAAGACATTCATTCATCGACAAGAGAGCAATAAGGAGAGATTACCAGGATGCTGGTACTGCACCACGCCTGGTACATACTAGAGACACAATGATCACAAAATAAATGAATCTCACTACTGTAGAAAGAGATGTCATGTAGAATCAAATCCCAGCCTTTTGTGTGTCTGTTTTCCTCCTTGCTTGAGAGGCATGGTGACTTCCATTGCCTGTCTTGGCGTTAATCTACCTAACAACGTCTTATTCATCCAGTTATTATCTTCACACAAGCCCTGATGCTGCCTTATTCCTCTTCGTGTCCTCATCCCTAGCATAATATTTGGCACGTAGTTTATGCACGATAAAAGCTTTGAAACCTCACAAACCCCTAAGGGGAAATGAGTATTGAGGATAAAGAGCAGATGAGCAAGATATGAATCTCAGGCGCTGGGAAAGGTGAAAACAAATGAAGCAACAAAGAGTAATTAGAGAGAACATAATTCGGCTCCATTGAAGAACCTAAAGCACATTTTATAGGCTTGCTAAGGATATCAAAGAATAATGGAAAACATCAACCACCTCTAAGAAGGAATTTTGAAAATCACATAACCTGAAAATGTATCTCTAAAAACAGTGCTCAATGTATTGGCCATGTTGAGAACCCAAGGCCAGGGGCAGGAAGAGTAGACTAGGATCTAAATCATTGATGCAAACACAAAAACCCCACTTGACTGACTGCAGAAAAGAAATTTATGGAAAACCAGTAGGTAGGCCATAAAAGCAAAAGGCAGGTTGGGAATCTGAGCTTTGCAGATAAACAGGAATTTGGGGGGTAGGGCAGGAAGCCAAAATACAGCCTAAGTCAACAGGAATTTGGGGGGTAGGGCAGGAAGCCAAAATACAGCCTAAGTCACACGCCAGGAATGGTCTGGTGAGAATGTCTTGCTGCTGTCATCACCATGAATGCTCCCTCTGAGGTTTGGGGCTACCCTGTGACCAGCGTGCAGCTTGGGATCTCTCCCCAGGATGGCTTGCCTCTACAGGACTGAGTGTAGGCCACACAGTGGTACACCAGGTGCCAGGAAGCAAGGAGAGGAACTGTCTGCCTCTCTGACTTTCTCCATACTTGAGATGACCCTCTAGATGTCCCAGTGCTGGATAGCCACTACATGAATATCTGCAACACCAAGTTTCTACAATTAGATTTTCCACTCACACTGGCTTTTGAGTCTGTGAAGTGGTCTCCCCGCTATGTCCATGGAAAATGGTGAAAACTTTAACACTTGGCATTCTTCACCTTTAAATATTCAACCCAAGACTATGGGCCACCATTTCACTAAGCACATAGCATAGGCACAATCCCTGCCTTCACAGGGCTTCCAAGGAGGCTAAAGAGATTCTATCCCTGGTTGCCTTAGGAGAAGGGAATCTAATATCTCATGGGACACCTTCCACATGCAGTGTACTTCCACATATGTCATTTCATGTAGTTTCATAGGAATTTCACTTTTTTTTTCTGATGAGAAAATTGAAACCAAGAGAGCTTATGTAACTGTCTTATAGCCAGTTCCTAACAGAGTCAGAATTTAAATTCAGTTCTGTCCAACTGATGCACTTTTAGCATACCACTTAATGACAATGGTGTACCGAGAAGCTGCTGGTGTAACCCACAGATCAAAATTCTTCTTGCTTTTACGTTTAACACTGGAAACAGAGATGAAGTGTTTTCTCTATATAAAGTTGTAGCAGCTTGTGTGGCAATGTGAGTCATCCACAAAGAAACATTTCAGCATTGGCTGATTTTTTTTTTTTTGGTAGTTAATGTGGGTGGGTTCTCAGGGAACACAAAGCAAAGAAAATGGAATTTTATTGTGAAAGAGAATTAGTAAATGTCAAAATTAAGTGGATGACCCCATTTACATTACCTCCAAATGAAACTAATGTCAATGTAAAATTATAATTTGCAATGTTTATGCCTAGCGCATAAAGGCTAAGCAGGTTTCAATTTCCCACGGAAAAGAAGATAAATTACGGGTGCCAGATGTTTTGCAACCAAGCAAGATAACGTGAAAATTTAATTTTTACTTGCTTAACTATAATATTTATGACTCTTAAAATACAGGTTTGAGTTCATAAGACAGGAAAGGTTACAGCCATCTGCTTGGTTACAGAATAGATAAAAATGCAGAGGATATCTCTCTTTGCAAGAGGAAATTCGTAAGTGTGAAAAATCTATAGGCAGCATAGGATGATGTATTCTGTTCATTCCTTGAATACCTTTATGTGACAGCTATTTATATCAGATCTGGAAGAACTGATGACAAAACATATGCACATTAACATCTCTTCCATCTTTGCCAGACTGTCCCTGCCTGAACCATCTTGCTTCCCTTGCTGCCCATACATACCTCCCATTTGCCCACCCTGACTTTGTCTAGTTAATTCCAACCCTTCCCTTGTGATCTGGGCTTAAACCAGCACCTTCTCAGGGAAGTATTCTGGAACTTTCTGTACTAATTTTTACTTGCTTTTATTACATACTCTTAAAACACCACCAACCTCTTCGTAGCAATTTTCACTGTTGCTATTTTATATTTTTGTTGGTATTTGATTGATGTCTCTTCCATAAATCAGTCAGCATCTTGAGGCCAGGGGCACTATCTGATGATATTCATCAGTGCATCCCCAGCTCACAGCATAGGGCATGTGTACTGTACATAGTAGAAACCAAATAAACATGTGCCAAATAAATACAATTCTCTATCCACTGTGCTGAAAAGATCATTGCTACTATTTTACAAAGAATTTTCAGAACTCCCTCACACCCCGCAATCTCTATTCAAAACAATGAAAGGAACACTGTGAAACTCTTCCTCCCTTTCATTTCTTGGAGTAGGAAGACTATCTGCAGTTTGAAGTGTACAAGAACTCAGTAAATGGCTCTGAATATTGGCAGCTGTCAGTTCAAGCAGGGTTGTT